CCAAAAAAAAAAAAAAAAACGATACATAGTTGAAACATATTCACCCATCACCCCCAAGTGACTTTGTGAAAGTAAGGTTACAGACTGTAATGACCTAGCCACTAATTCTGTATGGTGCTTTCACTTTGAGCCAATTTTTCTGCGATTTCTTATTGGCTTTGGCTCTTGGCTATAGCTACTGGTGGCTTAGGGGCTTGGGTAGGGAAGCTCTGGATGTGTCTGTATAACGCTTTGGAGAAGTAGAAAGTCATGGTTTAATTTTAACTTTTGGCAGGTCGTTTTGATTTTTTCCAAACATGTAGAATGTTTTCTGGGATCTGAAATTTAAACAGAAAACTCTTCTTCTTCTTCTTCACTGTTTCAATAGCCACATACACAGTTTTGACAGCTAAAATGAGTTTGGAGGTTTTTGAAGACCCATGCTATTTTGTGAATATCGCTGCTCTTGTGAAACTCTTCTGAAAAGTGTCATGTGGGATTCTTGTCACTTAGTGCTGGTCAAGAGCTCCCTTGCCCTTTGGTGTATACAAGGAACTGCTCTGTTCCTTAGGCGATAGTTTGCATTGACACTAAACTGGCATTTATTGACGTTTTCAGAAATCCGACTCTGTTTCCATCAGCTGAATTTTATGTTGCTGTGGAGGAAGATGGTAGTGGTATTGTGTTACAACTGGGGCCTGTGGTCTTTCCTTTACCCACACTTGAGCCAAAACTGATCTGGACAAGGTACAAAGAGATTATCTGAGACCAGTAGAGAAGGATGGGTTTTATTCTGTAGAAAGTCCCTTCTTTCCCCTCTGTTCCCTTGCTCCTGCCTCCAAAAAGGGGTGGGGAAAAATGGCAATCAGAAACCATCCTGTGATTCTCATTAGCCCGCTAAATACACAGTAAGAATGTAGAAAGGAGATACAGTCAAATATTTTTTGACAGTCAAATATTGTAGGAGGAAATCCCTGCCCAGTGAATGGTTTTCCCTGTCCAACAAAGGCTGTGTTAAGAAACTGACTGCGAATCTGGCCTTCCTCGGAGCCCGTAGTATGATCATACTACAGTATTTGGTTTGTATATTTGCTGGGCAATGTGCCTGAAAAGCATTACTATTGCACTGCATATACTTTGTCCTACAGTTAGGTATTTTGGAGCTGGAACAAATAAAACACTCACTATATTTATGATGTGGAAGCATGCAAGACAGAACCTCTTTCTATATTTTATTTATGCAACAAAACATCCTCAAAATACTATAGTATCTTGAACTTTGCGTGTGTCAGGGAGCAAGAGACCCAGATTTTCTTACGCAGCTGTAATATAAATGAACTTTCGTCTACTCTGAAGCTCCCTTCTGTTGTCAGGTTGATGTAAATTGACCCTGATGCCTGTGGGAGTTGGATCCAATGCTGTCAAGAAAGTCATTCATTTAGGATGAAACCCTATGGTCCCCCACCCGCCTCAAAAGCCTCAAGCTGATGTGACTGCGTGTTAGAACAGTATGCTGCCAAGTGTTAGTTATGACTTTTATCCTGTTATCATGCTATAATGTGAGATTGTCCCTACCCCTGAAGCTAAAGCTTTCAGTCTAGGGAAATGGGATGTTTTCTGCTGGAGGAGATCAGGGTAGGTTCCTCTTCTGCCTTGTACTGTGCTCTGTAGGTGACATCTTTTCATGCGGTGTTTTCTCAAGTAGCAAAGCAGGTTTGGCTGGCTGGCTGTTTTTTTCCATTCATAGACATTGATCTCTCCTCTGAGAAATGGTGTGACTTTATTAAGTTGCAGCAGAAAGTATAGAGCTACCATGTTTAGCATTCTTCAACTCTGTAACTGGAAGCAAGATGCAATAGACATTTAGGGAAAACATGGGAGACCTTACCATTCTGGCATCAGTCTTAGGTGGGCGTGTGCAATGAGCAGGGCTGTGAAAGCAGAAGTAATATGCAGCTTTGAATCTCTAGCCTGCAGAAATTTTTGCCACTTTATTGGAGAAAGTAGCAGTGGTGGTTCTTTTCTCAGGCTTTGTGTGAGTGACTGGGAGATTCTTTTTCTCTGGCCTCTTCTTCATGGAGATAACCAGGGCTTGAAATGGTGGTTTTTGTCCACCTGGTAATTTTTGTTTCTTGCTGTTGGCATGAAAATATGGGGAAGGGAAATTGAGGTGAGGATGGAATGAGAGGTACTTAAGCAGAGTACTGACGTAGAGCCAGAAGCTTGAGATGTGAAAAATAGCATCTCCTGTGTTTCTACCCAGAAACATTCCTTCTTCCCAGTGGTGGTGTTATTGTGAACAGAGGTTATGATGGGCTTGTTGTTTCATGTCCTAGCAGAGTTCTCTTCCTGCCCCAGATCCCACGCTATCCTTTCATAGAAGTACATGGGCTCTGATGTGTCACTTAACTATAGCTAAGTACTTATCTGTGCATAAAAGTTTAATCACTTATACCACATAGTTAAGGAGTTATAATTGTGGTGGTTTTCTTCCACCGCCCTGGCTGGTCACTGTTATTCCAGTATGAACTGTTATTTTACATGCTTGCTCAGGTGACAGAAGCCAAATAGCCTTTTTAGCCTTTCTCTCATTGACTTAGATAAAGGCAACAAATTACGCTATGGCCACCAGCAGCTAGTTAGTGCTGCTGCCAAATTTACTACCCCTCTTCCTCCCCCAGTAAACAGTAGAAGGACATATGGCAATTTAAGCTTAAATGGTGGTGGACAACAAGTTGGACAAGGGTCAGTGGTACGTCCTTGCGACAAGGAAGGTGAGCTGCATCCTGGTCTTCATTAGCAAGAGTATAGTCAGCAGGCTGAGGGAAAGGATCCTTCCCCTTTATTCATTACTTGTGAGAGCATGTCTGGAGTGCCATTTCCCTCTTGGGTCGCCCAACACATGATAAGCGCTGACACACTGAAGTGAGTCCAGCATAGGCCACCAAGATTGTCTGGGGCATTTTGTTAGTATAGCTATAACAATTTGAAGTTATGCTTTAATTTTATCAGCGTTTCTGTGCAGATAAGTCACTAGCATCTCTTTACTGCTATTTTGGTATATGAGAAAGTGCAATTGTGTATTCTAAAACAGCTGGTATTAGTAAGAATTATCTTCTGGCCCTCCTGATGCAAGGCCCTGTTTGTGCAAGAGAAGCTGTGCTCACTTCAAAGAATTTATATTAAGGGAACTGCTGTTTTTGAGGACAGCTGTTATACTTTCAACGTGAAAGAAAGTGACAGAATTTAAGGTTGGGTTTTAAAACTGGTGCTTTATTTATTGTTTATTCACCTGATTTTTAAATTGTATATACAGGTAGCAAAACTAAACTTGAAAGCTTGCTAGTATGCCTGCAGAGCTTAACATAAAAGCTAATAATACTGTTATGCTTTCTTGTTCTTGTTTTATTTTTAGGATTTCTTCTTTTATTCACTAGTATATGATCCTCAGCAAAAGACCCTACTTGCTGATAAAGGAGAAATTCGAGTTGGAAACAGATACCAAGCAGACATAACAGACTTATTAAAAGAGGGTAATTTCCATGATTTATTTAGAGTTGTCAATCGACCATGTCAAATATGGCCACTTTTCATGTGTGCAGCCTGCATGGGTATGGGTGATGGAGGTTCCCATCTCCAGATCATGTGTAGAGTGATGGCCTGGTTTGTTAGTGACTGAAACAGTTGCCCACTGAAGGCAATTAGTTATGTCTCAAACCAGTCTCGAAGTGGGCGTTTGTCCAGGTCATAAAAGTTGTTGAAACCAACTGAATTAATTGGTTCTCTCAGAGTTTGTGATCTTTTTAGTAAGACATTTCAGGATTTCCATGGGAAGCACAAATTTTCATCGCATCTGTAAAGCCTTTTGTTTTTAATCAAGCCTCACTTCCCTATAAGGGCCCCTCCCAAATTATTACCAATTACATGCTGTCTCTCCTCATCAATTTGCCCATTACCGCTGGGGGCCTTTTCCTACGAGCCCTCTCCCTAGCTGTTAGTCTTGGCTGCCAGCCTAGACTTCTCACCTGCAGAACAGGCAGGAAGAAGAATTTGCTGAGACCCTGTCCTGCCCCTGCTACATCATGGAGCAGGAGGAGCATGAGGACCCTGGCCCAAGGAACAGGCAGGCAAATAGTAACTTATTTTGGATTTGTCATTGCACTGGCCTACAGATCCAGAAGTTTGTGTGTGTGTAAAACGTGAGAGAGATGGGAATAGTCGCTCCTTTTGGAGACCCATGTGATGCACAGAGAAACGTCTGCCACTCTCCCCTTCCCAAAGTAGAAGGGATTGCAGACCACATCAGAAAGATCTTCACCGAATGTTCTCCGTGGGCAGAGATGTGAAAGTAACAAGGCACTTCCATCTTTGCTTAGGAGCTTTGTTGATACTGTTGGCCTAATGTTAGAAAAGGCAGACGGATTGGTCAGGACTTTTGTTTAATTTGCCTGTGAAGCTGGTATTTATTCAGCAACTGGGCTCGCCTCCTGAGTGAGGATGAACTAATTTGAAAGGCATTCCCTTCCTCAGCAGGCCAAGACTGGGCTTGGGAGAAAGATAATCTCCAGATGTTTTAAAGGGAGACGGTATTTTGGTTTGTGTAGAGGCAGGCTCTTTTGCTTCTATTTTCCTGACATGAGTTTCCCCTTAGAAAGTGTGCTGACACAGTTCAACCAGCTACTCTTTGCCTGCTCAGAGCAGCTGGGAATGTCTCTCTCTGGAACTGCTGCAAGACAGAGGGAAGAGAGAGAAGCTGGGGAGAGGGGTTGACAAGAAACTTTCTTGTTCAGAGAAAGACATACTCTGTTTCCCATTAGATGTGCCCTTTGAAACCAGTTCTTGAGGATCTGATTGATGCAGATGAGCTGGGTTGCTCTGTCTGTCCAGCTGCTAGGTATAGCCGATACTGTCACAGACAAATGGGTGAATGAAACTTCAATTTCTGCTGCCTGTAAGGCAGGGAATCCGAGATGGTTCGGCAGTTGTGTTATTGTGAGATAGAATATTTAGAAAATACTTCTATTTTGAAACAGTCATGCCAAACTTTTCTAACTTGCTTTTCAACCAGGTGAGGATGATGGAAGAGACCAGTCGAAACTTGAAACAAAAGTTTGGGAAGCCTTTAACCCGCTAGTAGACAAGCAGATAGACCAGTTCTTGGTGGTAGCGCGGTAAGAGCATTTCACCTCTTTGAATAAGTACATTTTAGTAGTGCTTCTTCTCCTAGAGCTTTTGCTTTTTATGCTTTACTAGTGTGAAAGTTAGTTTTGGTCCTTGATTCATATGCTCTGTTTTGAAATGATGGATGTTTTACATGCTTTGCTGGGATTTACATGACTCTGCGAACAGCTACACAGATTTATGTCTTACAGTTAATAACTTTCATAAAATAAAAGCAAATGACATAAAACGTTATTCTGTAACGGGTGAGGTTTTTCAAGTACTTTGGCCAATGTGCGCAAGACTTCCGTCAAATAAATTATTGATGGTTCATTGCTTTGCTCATTTTCTCCCTTTAAGTCAATGACTTTTCGACATCCAATAATAATTTGCCTAGATAAGATGTCTCATAAAACATTTTTTGATGGAGTCTGCCTGTTTTCTAATGCCTAGGTTCAAGTAGGTAGGTCCAATGAAGTAAAGCCTGCAAGTCTCTCTAGATGTTAGATGATGAAATGTGTGGCGGGGTTTTTGGTGTTTCTGTTGTTGTTGGCAGCCCAAAGCAATCTTTGTCCATCAAGTTCTTTCTGCTTTTTAAAGTGTTATTGAACTTCTACCCTGTTGTGCATTTATATGAACAGAAGCATGTACTAAATTTTAGGCTTCCATTGCAACCTGTGACTGAATAATTCTAAAAATGAAAGAAGAATAGGCAAGTTTTTTAGACTGTCTGGAAGTGTGGGAGGAAAGCAGTATGAGATGGATAAGTGGGCCCATTGGTGTATTTAGTGTAGAGGCAGGCTAATGTTGGAAAGAGGCAGGATGGGAGTGCAGAATTATAAGCTACTAGTAATATCTGGCTGGCTAGTCTTGACAATTCTGCTTCTTGGCCATGGAATCTGATAGTTGTGGACCCTGCCTCGCAGAGCAGCTTTCTTTAGCCCTGAAGAGCAGAGACTTAAGTCTACTTGTCAAATACTCTGTTGAATTGGGCCGAGGTTCTTTTGGACATCTAGTTCTTGACTTTTCCTCTTGAGTCATTATGTTGAATTTTCTCCATGGCCTATTGTGGGGTAAGGGTAAGTTAACGGGATGCTCTCTAAAGAGGCAACGCTAGAGCTTATCTGCAAGAATTTGTTCAGACAGAGCACTCTACTTCTGATTGAAAAAGTTGGATGATGCCACAAGAGTGCGTTTATCAAAGAGTAGTAAATGCATTCAACATGCTGAATGATATGGACTGGAGGGAAATACTAGAGAAAAAAATGTATTAAAGAAATGATAGAGGAGTGAAATGCAATATTTTAAGGGCACAAGATGAGAAATACGTGTACTCAGAAACGCACAACAAAATTGATTTTTCCTATGTAGTCTGAAGATCAGACTTGCCATTATTATAAATTTTGTCCAGCTAATCTGTTTTGAGGAACTTTAAAGGTTTGTACGGCTGCTTGATTGTTGTGTTGAGTTCCATAACAGGGAACCAAGAATGAAACTTGGTTAGTTAAGACAAAAATGTTAACTGCTGTCTAGATTGAAGAAAATCTCATAGTTAAAATCACTTTGCACATTTTTGCCTTTAGTTAAATTGGTCGTCTTTTTATTGTTTGGTCTTATTGTTTTAAGATTCATTTAAAAAAAATCCTTTGTGTTATGGCTACACCAAGGAATCACCATAAAATTTCACTCTTGGAAGTTCCACTGTGCTGCTTACACTGTATATTGCTGTTTCCCTTGACCTGCACCAACAGTAGAGTGAAACTTGCTGAATCAGCTGATTTATGTACAACAGATTATTCCAGTTGATCAGGTGAACATAGGGAAATGGATGATGTCCACCAGCGTGGTGGAGCAAACAGATAAAAGGAGTGATGGGGAGAGCTGGGAGTAACTCTAGCCAAGGAGATTCCTGCTTCTTATGAGTCCCTTCTTGACAGGAGTGCAGTTTTGTAAGTGTTTCTAATGAAGTGAAGTACAGGACACCACCAAAACGCTGAGAACTTCTCTTTTGTTTGCTGGGTTAACTTTCAGTGGGATTGATTCAAATTGCCCCTCAGTCACGTGGTCCTCTGGTATCAGTGACGAGAGGACCTAGCAGGAAGTAAGAGGGTGGAAGCACCCCCCGCCCCGGTGGATGGGGGTTAGCACGGGGGTCGCTTCAGAGTGACCACGGAGCTGCTTTGTGATGGGGCGTGCGTAGGCGCTTGGCAGTGAAGCTGTTCTAGGTAGCTCTGGCTGTTCACTGCTATCCACTTGGTGTGCTGGCACAGCTGCTTGTGGATGCATGCTGTAAACAGAGTCCCTGAGAAGATTGGTATAAAGATTGCTTTTGTTCAGAATCAGCAAGGCGGTCCAGTTTATAATTAGACCCTACAAAAAGAAGTATCAGCTCAGCTAAAGCTAGGGAGGGCAAGCTTTGAGGCAGGGGTGGGGTGAGTGGCTGGAAGCATAGCTCTCCAGGAGGCTGCAAAGGGGTATCTGGTTGGGAACATGGATCCCATGGGGAAGGTCAAGAGATTTTCGGCCAAAAATACGTATTTGATGATAATTACTACTTTTCCTGCTCCTGCGCTGTTTGTCGCTGGAGTTTGTTCCTCTCCACACTGTGAACTAGTTTGGGGAAGTGATCTGACGGGGGGGGGGGGAAAAAGGCTTTTTCTGTTGTGGTTGCTGGGGCAGGGGCGTTCTCTGCTGCGAGTCACTGTGCAGGAGCGCAAGTGCTTCCCCCCAGGCAGTGCAACGAGCAGTGAGGGGAGCAGGGGTTACTTGAACTGGTGTTCCGATTGAAAAATTCTCAGATTACTTTCTTTAGGGCTAAAATGAGAGGCTTGGGGATTGCAGGCACAAGGAGCTGCAGTGACTGCCACTGAGAAGTACTTGAGAATTTCTGTAATGTCTTTCCCTTTCTTCAGTGCAAGCCTGTTGTAAATGCAGGCTATATGGGGTGTGTGTGTGTGTGTATATTATATGAATATTATATTATACTTTTAAAATAAAGAACTGTTTTAATTTGTCTGAAACGTTTAGAAAAATGATTGGATTGCTGCATTTCTCCTTTCCATCTGGTCTTGGCATCTGTCTCTGTACCTTCGGACAACCAAGCACTACTCTTGCTTTTGTGGAAAAGGTTTTGCCATTCATAAAGTTTGATTAAGATCAGTTTCTGTTAAACCTTATTTCAGGGAGCCTCTGAGAGGTAGGGAATGAGAGAGTTCAAAACCACTCATTTGTGATTCTTGAGTCTTTCACCATTTCCCCTCCTACGCCTAAGCCTATTTGGCCATATGAACTAAGTAGAGTAAAGCATTCATAATAACAAACCACATCTGAGGAAAATGGTCTCTGGCTCAGAACTAGAGCCAAACCATATAATCTCATTACTGACAAATGGAGTCTGCTAATCTCAAGAAGTGTTGGTTGGGTGTTTATATTTATGCTTGTTTTGCATGCAAAGTTAATGCTCTGTTTAATATCTTTCAGGTCTGTTGGTACATTTGCCCGAGCACTAGATTGCAGTAGTTCTGTCAGACAGCCAAGTTTGCACATGAGTGCTGCAGCAGCCTCTAGGGACATCACGCTGGTAAGATTTTTAAGAGGATCTTAAGTTCCTGAAAGGAGGTGTAACACGTTCACCTCTGCAATAGCAGCTGGCAAAAGTAGAGGGGCAGATGGGCTGTAATTGTGGCCTACTGTGGTTTAGATACTGTCTTTGTAAAGGAATCCTTTATTTACATTTGAAATGACTTTATCTGGCCTTGTGACTACTATGATCCATCATGGATAGTTTTACCGGAATTTTTAGTTTCATTAAGATGTCTTGACCGCATGCCACCCAGCCCATCTCCTCCATGGGCTTAGTGGCTGTCTTGAAAAGAATGTGAATGATTATTTGCCTGTCTGCAATGTTAAAATGTCGGAATGTCACTTCTCATCACTTCCCCAACACCACGAACTGTCACTGGCACCCTTGGGCAAGAGCATCTGGGGAAAAAGTTTGCAGTCAGATAAGAAGTCTAAGTTGAGCTAGTTCTTCTATGAGCTTCGTTTTAAAGTGTCTAACGAGTGGTGATTGATATTGTTAATATTTTATAATCATAAATGATTATGAGTAGGCAGAGGAAAGGCAAAACTTAAACTTCTGTGCTAGAGAGTTTAATGGAAATGTGAATAAAATTCATGAAGTCTCCAGAGTACTGTTATCAAAGCCTTGCCTCGTAACTGGAATAGTGTGAAATCATACGTAGAGCAAATTTTAGGATAAAACACTGTAGGATAATTGTGCACATGCACAAAACGCTGGTATGATGGAAGGCAAGCAACGTTCTAATTAAAACTACAGAAATCAAGAAATAGAGCCAAGCTTTCATTTACTAACACCAATTCCTCTGTCTCGCAGCATGTTGCTATCTCTTGCAAATCGCAAGTTGCAGCCAGTCATAGCTCAGCTTTCTGAGGAGCAATTGCTCCTGGGAGTAATTCTTTGTTTCCTACTCAGCTATGCTGTGTGACTGAATTCCTTTTTGGGGCTTGAGGCCTTTGTGGCTGTGTATGTGTGTGTATATGTTGCTTTTATTAAATACTTGCTTTTATATGAAAATGTAGTGGATTGTTTGACAAAGAAAGTGTATGGCTAAGTTTATTAGACAGTATGTCCTCTAGATATTTATCCTGATGCCCTATCTGTGGATGGAACCTAACAGGGCTGCCTAGCCCTGCTGAGCAGGGCTATATCACGTGCGTTTCCTTAATGGGCGTGCTACGCTGCTGCTGCTGGAGGGTAGATAAAGTAGGAACTATGAATATGGGGAACCTTCTGTTCCAAAAATCCCAGTATTGTTAGTGAACATTAGACTTGTACACTGATAATTATAGTGAGTCTGAGGTGAACAAGGTTCTGCTGACTTTGTGTAGAAAGAGAATGTTTCATCCTCAAATCTCAGTAGATGATTTTTGTTATGACTGTTTCATTTCTCATTGTTTTTTCCCCTGGATGTTTGTCCTTATGTTTGTTTTTCTTTTTATTGCCATGTAGTTCCACGCTATGGACACTTTGCACAAAAATGTCTATGACATTTCCAAGGCGATCTCTGCACTTGTGCCACAGGGTGGGCCAGTCCTATGTAGAGATGAGATGGAGGAGTGGTCTGCTTCAGAGGCCAACCTCTTTGAGGAAGCACTAGAAAAATACGGAAAAGATTTCACTGACATTCAGCAAGATTTTGTAAGTATACAAAATGAGGGCTGCATGGTGAGCAGGTCTGACCAGTGACAGAGCTGGCTTACAGCTTGTGTCGAAGCTACCTTGTTTTCCCTCAATCTGAAGAGGGCTCTGAACTGGAGCGTGTGTCTTGCTGTAAACTGGGGAAAGGGAGATCTCATACTGATGACAGCCTGCTGTACAGTCAGAATTTCAAATCACCGATGATAGCTTTTCCTTCAGAGATGTAACCTTAAAGGTGTCTGCTCCAGGACAACTGAGAGATGATTTAGGACAGCCTAACTGCCTTCAGATTAGTTTGTATCTGAAGGAGAGTAGGTATTGGGCCTTCTGAAACATGAACGTTCAGTCACTTTTATAATACTATTTCAGAAAGGGCCCTTTGAAAATTTAAAAAAGGAATCTTGAGAATCCAAGGGAAGTGTCCTGTAGTTTGGCCAAAGCTCCACCCTAGGCGCTCAGCGTGCAGGTTGAATGGAGCACTGTAAATAGAGCCAAGTTTTGCTTTTTCACTGTTTGAGTCCTCTGAAACAAATGAAGCGGTTTCACTGTAGCTTGTCCCGTGCCCTAATCTTTTAGACATAGGGACTTGGAAACAGCACAGCACTGTAGTCTTGCTGAGATCCTCATTTGGAGGGTAGAGCTGGCACGGCGCAGTTCTGTTGTTATTGTTTTAAATGATCCAACTCCATAAAAGCCAAGCAAATCAGAACTGTGATGCTGTAGTTGTGGCTCTTGCTTGGGTCTTTGCTGCTCAAAGATGGGGCTCTTTTCCATATTGTGCCCATCTCTTGAACGGTGTATGGTGGAGCCAATGCAGCATGGAAATTTACCTGTAACCTGCTCTGCTTCCTCACTGAAGGTGCTATCTTTTGAAAGGCCATTTAGTTTAACATAGGTCCCGTGTGCATCTAATGCCGTCAGGAGAGTCACACCCTGGCTGGTCCCTTTTTGTTAGGAGGGTTAGTAGTAGCAAGGCTCCACTGCAAACAGTCCCTCAGAGGAAACTTGCGAGTTTGCATCAGGCTGTATGGCGCTCCTTGCAATGACTATTGCTTCTCCTTTATGTCCCTAGCTCCCATGGAAGTCCTTAACAAGCATAATAGAATATTATTATATGTGGAAAACTACAGACAGATACGTTCAGCAGGTAAGAGATTCAGAATCACCTCTCTCATTCTAACAGAAGCTGTTTTTCTTACCTTTGAAACCAAGCATTGTTGCTTTATCTCCTTCTTGGTCTTCAGCCTTTCCAATAGATGGATTTTGTAATGATTTGAAAGGCCAGAAATCTTTCTCTTGTCTCTAATCTCATAGGCAATCCTGCAGAAGTAAACATCTGGCATTGGGATTTGTGCTTTCTTTTCATGCTTTTTGCCACTTCACTTGTTTGGAGCTTTCAAATGCCTGTTTTGGAATTCGGTCGTTTGAGGAAGAGAATGCAATTAATCTCTGCCTGTTACAAGTTCAAGGTTGGCAGTAACTTCAGTTAGGGCTGTTTATGGGGGAGTGGGCAGTTGCTGTACCACAGGCACCCGTGGTTATTCCCCACCTGTGCCTGTCCATGACTTTGAAGATTCATATGTGTGGAAGCTCCCCCATGTAAACAGTGAGTGAGTTAAGTATTTGTCTGGGAAGTGTTGATGGCTCAAATTCCCAGACTCATTATACTTGAGGATCAGCTTGGAGTAGTGTTTACAATAATTTTTATCTCCTACTTGTATAAATACAAAGGCTGCTTGGTCCTTAAATAATTAAGGCACAATGCAAGAAGCATGCAAAATGTTGTAGAAAATCAGTTGCTGAAAACTACTTAAAATATTTAATAGGAAAATTTAATTACAAAGAAGGGTGAAATAATATATTGGATTTTTCATGATAATTATCAGTATAATATTTAGGCACCTATTTAAAGCCCTAGAAAGAGGGGAGTTATAAAAATGGCCTGCCTTAACTTGTTTCATTGGATATTCAGCCTGGGATAAAGACTAGCTGCCTGGGGCGTGGACCAATATTTGGCATGTGCCACGTTTGGGCACGGAGGCCATTTTTACTATCCTCTTTCTGATTGGAACACTATTTAAAATTAGTGAGAAAGTCTTAGGACAAATCAGAACTTTTATTGTGTAAATTCTCTGTAATGCTTGTTTTTCCTATTGAGTGGCTTTAATAGTTACATCGTCACGCCTATATTTCCCCGAGTTGTTTCTTTGATCAAACTTTTGCTTCGGAAAAAGAATTGAGCAGTAAGAATGTGAGACAGTGATGGAAGCTGGCATGGTAGGGGAAAAAAGGTGTTGGCGAACTAGGCCGTGATCTTTTCTTCTTCATTGAACTGTGTGTGTGACTGAGATAGTGACTACTACTTTCCTGTATGATGACGGCTATTTAGGGCATGATAGCTGGCTGTACTGAATCCATACTATGCTCAGTATCTGCATGAAGAGGAATCCACTTATTTCTCTTTCCTTGCATTGTTTATCTAACCTCTCTTCCTTTAACCGTAGACATCCATCTAGCAGTAGGGTAGGAACTGGAAGAAGTGAAGAAAGTTATTTCATCCGCCAGTGAAAACTAGAATCTTAATAGTCTGTTGCATGAAAATGTCACCCCTGTACAGTGCAAACAGCAGGCAGAATACATCACTATCCTGCTCAGTAAATCCATGATATGTCTGCAACTGTGACGTTCTGTTCTTTGCCCGTCTCAAGGGATATAACAGAATGGGGAGAGGCACAGAAAAAAGTGACAAGAGTGATGAAAGGATGGAAATGCTAAATAAATAACTAAAATAACCTTAGACTCTGCACTGTGGAGAGCTGGTGGATATGGAAAGGGTATGGCAGGCAAGAAGTTGTGAGAGTGGTTTGGAGAATGTGACTGAGGAATGTTTGTTCATTGTCTTTTCTGATTTAAGATCTAGGGATTGTCAAATCCCACTGGCAGGTTCAGAATGTGATGTTTATTTAGATTATATGTAATTAAATTGTTGTGCCCCTTGCCATGGCATGTTGCAGATACTAGTTTACTTGGATTTAAAAAAAAAAAAAAACCCAAAGGATGAATTCATGAGATGGGAGGAGTAAAAAAGAAATCCATGTAGACCTGGTTTAGGTACAACTATCTTTTGTGCAGGTAGTCCCTAAGCCGCTGATTATTGCAAGGAAATGTTGCTATGTGCTCCCTCCCCTTTTCTTTAAAAGGGAGGGGGGCGAGGGCAAAGGGCAATTTCTTTGCTGTTAACTCTTGAATACTGGGATTATATGTATTAAATTTTTTGTCCCCTTTCCCAGGGCATTTTGCAGATACTATTTTATTGGGTTTAAAAAAAAAAAAAAACCCAAAGGATGAATTCATGAGATGGGAGGAGTAAAAAAGAAATCCATGTAGACCTGGTTTAGGTACAACTATCTTTTGTGCAGGTAGTCCCTAAGCCGCTGATTATTGCAAGGAAATGTTGCTATGTGCTCCCTCCCCTTTTCTTTAAAAGGGAGGGGGGCGAGGGCAAAGGGCAATTTCTTTGCTGTTAACTCTTGAATACTGGGGCCCAGGTGCCTGCCTCGAAGCCCATGAGCAGAGGAAGGTACTGAGAGGTAATGTTTGAAAGCACGCAGCAGTAAGGTCAAAGCCAGTGAAGGTCTCATGCTCTTTGCGTTTGTTAATGTTGTTGACCAGCTCTTGAAACACTGCTTCCAGTCCTAGACAGCAGAGGAAAACATTAGTATTTTTGGGGAGGGGAAACAACTGGAGAAACTGTGCCTCGATTAGGAAGTGGTTAAATTCTTTGGCTCTTTTCCATTTTCTTGAACTTTTGTATTACATAGACAAAACTGCAGAGAGGACAGTTGCCTGAAACACTGATTATTTGTTCTTGCAGTATTTTGGGGGGGGGAACCCCCCCCACAATTTCTCATACTTTTTTGTTACATTACTATGCAGTGTATCTTAGGATCATGGTTATACCTTACATGTGCTGTCTGGCAGTGTACAAGGCAGTGGGATTTGGGGAAAACTTCCAATTAGAGCCTCAACGCTTAAGAGACAGTATAAATATAAGTTGAATGGGTAGAAATTGCAGTGCAGAGATATTATATCAATTAAATTTGAACTCAGTTGAAGACCTCCTCTCAAATTCCCCAATCATGAAGCAAGTAATACTATTAAACATTTATAAAATACCAGGGAGAGAGAGAGGGAGAGAGAGATAACCACAAAGCATAGGAAGTGGTATTTGAACTAATAATGTCTTGCATTTATATTTTACTTGATATGTGCAAAGTCTCTGACAAAGCACGTTCCCCGCCATTTTTTTCTGTCTACTTCAGAGTATTTTGTCTGTAGATTCTTTCCTTAGTCAAATACCACAAAATGGTTCTGGGACTAACAGCATTTTTGTACATGAAGTGTTGAAAATGTGCTAAGAATATTAAAAGTGTGTATCCTGAGTTGTTTCACTTGTCCTCCTTCTGTGAGGATGATTAAATTTATATTCCAGCTCTGTAAGGCACTGTTAGTTTAAAAAAAAAAAAAAAACAAAAAAAAACCCTGATAACCTACTCATTCTTGTAGAATCTTTGGCTGAATGCACTTAAGAAAAACATATATTTAACCTGTCTGTTTCTGAGAATTACACAACATAATAACGAAGCTCTTGTCACCAGCAAACTGCCTGTTTTGATGAAAGCCATTTAGCTGGGAATTGTTTACTTTCTTCTGTATTTGCTTTAAGATTTTTCTTGGAGCAAGAGAGGATTCTGGCTATCATAATCCTAAAGCAGAATCCATGTGCTTCTTGCCAACAAGTTACATTTTGAGTTGTCTTCAACAGAAGACCCCTTTTCAGAGCTGAACAGGAAGGAAAGTGCAACCAGATATTCTGATTCTAAGAAATTACATCCTGTGTAAGCTTGGAACTACAGCTCCAGTAGTCAGAGTATTTGGAAAATAAACGACACGAGGTATTCTTGTTGAAGTGCTAGCATGCAGAAAGAGTTGCGCTTGTATGCGCATCAAAAAAAAAAAAACAAAAAAAAGTGTTTATGCTTGGCATACCTAGGACGGGAAGGCTTAATACCACACTTCCTTGTGTTGCGGCTAGGACACTGTAGTTGAGATAGAGGCAAAATTGTCCTGTTTTGGAGGGTGCACTTGGATCTCTTATCCAGTGATTTTTGTTTGGCTTGAGTTACACCTTGCTTCTGAAGGCTGCCGACGTAATTAGGAATTGAATAATTTCAAGAGAAGGAGCAGCCCTCCCAGAGCAGAACTGTTAGAGGAAAAGTTTCATCCACTGCACTGTCAACACAGAATTTATGGTCCGATGTAGGTTCCTGAACATCTGCTCAAAATGATGCCAAGACTTGACCGATAAAAGACACCCTTTCAGATTTGTCCTGAAGAGCGAGGGAGGCTCATCCTAAATTCAGTATCCCATGTCTTCTTTGAATGCCTCTTTCTTGAGACAGATTTTCCACATGTATTCACTAGAGCTTATATTTCTGAATCAGAAGTGTTTGAAATGGCAACCACTGAATAACTTCTATGTGGTGACTTCCCCCAATGATTTGAAAACTCTTTAAGACATGATGTGATGTTCGGTCATGCCTGCGTTTTCATTCAAAATTACGGTTACGTTCTTATGTAGCTGTGAATTCCAGCATGGTGGGTTTTTTTTTTTTTTTTCCTGAAGTTCTTTAAACGTTTGTGCTGTTTTGCATACCAAACACGGGAAAGTCCTGAGGACTTTGAAGCAGAACACGGCTCTCCAGTTGTTGAGGAAAAAACAGCTCAGGAGATGGCAGTGGCAAAAGATCGTTTGAATTAGTCATATGTTTTCTGAGAGTTGAAGGCTTTAATTTTACTTTTTGCATCTCATTTGTGCATGAGGGGCATGTAACCTCAAGAGGAAGATCAAATCTTAAGAAGAGAACAATGTAGAAACTTGTATTATGTGGAAGTGTTGTCAGAAAAGTGCTGCATGACAAAAATGAAGTAGGAAGAAGTGACTGAAAAACACTTAGGTTGTGCATAGACCTGAAAAAATGAACATAAAGGAGAAGATACTGGAGAAAGTCAAAGTGTCACTATACACAATTACAGAGGAGGGAGGGCTGAGTAAATCTTGATATATAGATAACAGAGATATAGGTAATCTTGGCTTACCGATTCCTTTAATAAGGAAAGCTACCTTTCTCCATATCTAGCCCAGAGCTGTGTGTGACATCTTAATAAACTAACCTTCCTAAAGTACTGTGTGCTAACAAAGCAGAAATAATGTAAAAGAAACATTTTTCCACATACATAGGACCCAAAACACCTCCTGTTAAGCCTGCAATAACATAGAAGTGTAGCAGTTTTGGCAACAAAATGTTTTTGGGGGAGAAAAAAAAAGCCGTGTGAAAGCTTTCTTCTATATCCAGAAAATGCAAGCTAGAGACCATTCTTCCCCAGCTTGAACTAATAAATGCTTGCTGTTTGAGGAACTGAGACCTCTCTGTGCTGTCTACCAGCGCATCCCTCGCATTGCGGTCCTTGAAGTATCCTATGCTTTCCTGGATTGCTTCTCTTATTTTCTCTTTATAAATGTTCATTCTTCAGAAAATGACCCCAAACATTTACTCTGATACCTCACATATTTTAAAACACTTTCAAGCTCGGTGGGTAGAGTGCAAGTTGTTAAAGCTAGGGAGAGGATGTATAGAGGACAGATGTTTGCATCGCTGTCTGTACAGTGCTCAGTAATTTAATCCCCTTGGTGCCTGTGGGATAGGCAAGTTGATAATATCTCCCCTTTTGTAGATGGGGAAAGTAAGATGAAGTGAATTTGAGGAAATATGTTAGATACAGGTGTATTAATAACTTGCAAAGACAAAGATTTCATTTACGCCAGACTTCTAGAAAAACTTAAAAATGTTCAAGATTTTTTTTTTGTGGATGAGAACATTCAGAACTACATCAGACAACATTAAAAATTTAAGGTATTAAAACCCATTTGCTTCAGGCACAAATCAATTACTAACTGGCAAGGCGCTAGTAAGGCACTTTCTCTGTGAAGGGATTATTCTGTTATTGTGCGTTACTACGTTTCAAACCCCTTTCTCCTGTACCTTCTGGTACCAGTCGCTGTCAGAGAATAGGAAACTCATCAAATCTGGTGTAGTGATTCCTCAGGGCCATAAATATGTGCGTAAAATTGGCCTGTTCTTATCCAGTAGATCATAATAGCACGCCGAAAACCTTCGCCGCCTTGGTTTACTCGTTTGTCTTTTTATACCATATTCTTAAAAATAAAGTTGTTAGCTCACAGTTTGCACAATGGTCATCAACCACAAAGAAAATCTGTGGTGCGAGGTTGACGTTCATCACCAGTTTACTAAAGTGTTGCTTAATAGCCTAAGTTACTCCGCTGTCCACTTGGAGATAAGGTTATTTCAGCTGCTGGTAATGCTTTGTGCTTGCATGAAGCTTTCCCATTCGCAGATTTCCCAGAATGTCATAACGTAATAACTCAAAATGCAATGGCAGAAAGTTCCAGGGAGCTTTTGCCAAAAAACTTACCTCCATTCCCCTTCCCCCCACCTCCAATTTAGTGGAAAGTGGGGGGGAGAACCCAATTTTCTACCAGTGGAAGTTCATTGAATTTCCTACTTCGGTCTGAAGGAAAATAAGATTATTGCACAAGGTTCCTCAAGGAATATTGTAAGGCCTTTATCGGTATCAGATGCTAGACTTCCATGTTATTCCTGGACAAAGTATGAATTCTGTGGCTGTTCGTCTGCTGACATAGCTGCTCACGATAGTCTCTGCTATCAGTTGCCTGGGGAAAGACGACTGGTTTTCCAGTCCAGCAAGAGGGTGGAACAGCCTGCAGTTCATGGTGGAAAGGCCTCTGAGCATGTTTTGTTATTTTTCTGTTTATGGGTTTTTCTTTTTTGGTAATGTTCCTTCTGGAAGGTAGAGAAGTGTTTCTGATGCTACTGGAGAGCCATCATCGCAGCACTTTTTGAGACCAGCCATGGGATGCTTTGGTCACTTATGTGAAAAAGACTTGAGCAGGACGTTTTGACAACGTTCAGTTTGGAACCTCTGCTTGGTATTCAGAGAGAACCTCTGTAGTTGCGTAACTGACTGTCAATAAAACGTATATTTTTGATTCCTCTAAGTCTGTAGGCTTGATACAGATCAGCTGTGTGCATATTCATTTGGATTTTCTTAAGGACAATTTCAGGATAGCTGCTCTTGTGTGAGACCAGATTTAACAGAAGCGACTGGGGAAATTCACTCCTGCCAGCAGAAGGAAGTCTCTTTTCTTCTGCTTTGAAAGTCTGCTTTTGGGTGCAGTGCTCTGAAGGGGTACCCGTAGTACCTCAGTAACTTTCAGAAGTTCTGGTTGTTTTCTCAGATCTTATTCCTTTGCCTGATAACTTAGTTATTTGATTGTTTTAAGAGAGGTTAGCTTTTATTTGTTGGAAAAGGTAAGGTGGGAGTTCTTTAGGAGTCTAGAGAGCTTTGGCTAGGAACTGTCACACTGTCAAATGGAAAACTTGCTGGGACCGTCCCTCTGCTCATAGCAAGCTTTATGCTTACTGGAAACGTTTAATTCATTGTTTCTACATCTGTCCATCCTGTCCCTGTAAAAGGGATTTTTGTATTTGTCCAGTTCCTTAGTGACACACTTTTTTCAGTTTTATGTGTTTAGCGCTTCCTGTTTCTATGCAGAGACCAATTTTGCTTTACAGTTGTTTTTCTAGGCTGTGCCTTGAGGCCACTGCACAAAAAGTGTTAAGTTAATCTATTTGTCTAGAAACTGTAAAACACAGCAAACAATCCCCTTCGAAATAGCAGTGCTTTCGTGTTGCAAGTGTTGCATTCAATCTGAGGGCAGTCAAAAACCTCCAGCTTTTAGGCAGAAAGTGTGCTCTTGGCGAACATTGTCACGGCTTTTTGTAGACTTGCGTTACTGACGTGGGAATTGAAGAGCATGGGCCCTGCTGTGAGCAGGGGCTTGGACTGGAGCCTCTGGAGGTTCCTCCCGCCCTAAGTTATACTATGATTCAATTCATTTAGCTTATGTAATAAAAAGGAAATTAGAACCTCAGAAATTCTCTTCTACTTTCTAAGGAATGTGAATATTTGAGTTGTAAAAGGAATTCTTGGCCAGTTAGTAAAACTCATGCTAATTGACTAGCTATGCCATTTTCTGGTGGGCTATCAGCAAGTTTACAGCCACAGCTGAACAAAAGAAAAGCACAATGCTGCTTGGGGTGAATTTTTAATCTGTACTTCACATTGAAAGGACCCTGTAATCCATCTACTCCAGAAATGTGGGCAAAACTTTTAATGGCTGGTTTTAACAAAGTAGTGCCAGGCAAAGAGAGAAATTGTGTATACTTCTAAATGTGCATCCCTATACTCTGAAAGGCTATTCTTTTTATGCATATTTTCCCTTGAACATATCTCTGTTATGTTCCTTAACATCCCTGAGAAAGGGGTGTTTTGTTAGGAGCCTGTTGTTTTGTACGGTTAATGTTTCTTCCCCCTCTTAACCCCTCCACCCCCGCCGTGGTGGTGGTTTGCCACCCAGTCCTCTGGGATTAGGGCATGTGCATGGGGTTTATTTCCCGTCTGTCTTAAAGGGGATAAACACTTCATGCTCATGTACCTAAAGCTTTTCACCTTTAGAAAGTGCAAATGTTCAGATTGCCTATGGCTGATGTTTAGTTTGAAGTGATGACGTTATCATCTAATACTTATATATTATATAATTATATACGTATATAATTATATCATTATACTATATAATGATATAGTTATATTATCTAATATCTAACTATTATCTAATAATTCTGCATCAGTTTTGAGTTGAGCTCTTGGCCTTTTAAAAACCGATCGACAGTAGAGGTTTTCTTTAGTTAGTTACAAAAATGAGGACTGGCAGCAAAGTCTTCCTTCAGACTCTTTGAATTGGCTCAGCTCTTCCAGAAAAGTGATGGAGAAGTTGTTTTTCCATACCAGTTCTTATCTAATTGGTGCATGCTGTCAAGGAGGACAAACAGACTGGTATGTCAGAGCCATCTCTGCAGGGTGGAAAAAGGGTTATGGGTGAAGCAGTGCATGTATTTGTACTGGACTGCACGGGGATGAAAAGGTTGTGCCTACAGTGGTAGTCTGTAATCTCTTGGACTTTTCAGGGTACTGTGTACATAGTCATTTGATGCCACAGTTGTTTTCAGTGGCTTTCTTGTTGGAAGAAGGCTGTGTGGTAGCCGCTCGGTGAAAATAAAATTCATTCCTGTTTATTAACGAGCGCTAAAGGTGCTTACAGGTGAATTACTTAACTCCCAAATACAGTAGTCACTATTTTCTTTTTATTCTAATGTTTTTCTTTTTCTTTTTAAAGAAACGATTGAAAGCAGCAGAAGCAGAAAGCAAGCTAAAACAAGTGTATATACCCAACTAGTAAGTATCTTTTTTGTGTTATTTTGTTTCCTATTTCAGTGGGGAAGGTCTCCTGTTGCAGTTTCCGTGGCCTTGGCAGTATTACATATTGGTTTTAATTATCCAAAAAAAAAGGAAAGAAAAAGACACAGTAGGACAAAACATGTCAGAATTATTAAATTAGGTTACCAATATAATGAACTTTCTGCTGATGTTTAAATAAGCTTGAATTCCTTTTTATTTAACTCAATTGATGCTGTCGACTCAGATGCTAATGAACAGCTAGGAGCCTTATGGAAGAAAACATGATGGCTCTGGTACTTCAAAGCTGGCTGGAACGCAGCAGCGCCTGTCTCGGTCCGCTTATGAGTATGCGAAAGACAAAGCTGTTCCTTCACACTGACTTTCTACTTCTGGAGCGCACGGTATTTCCGCCACTGGTAGTGGAGGACTTTCCCTTAGGGGCTTTCCCAGTTAGGATGCTGTGCTGTGTTTTTTCTTATTTGTTTTCATCAGTGGATCACCCATAGAGGGTTGTTTCCTAATGTGTTACATACTTTAACTCTTAGTAAAAGGTGTTTCTTCTTCTGTGTTCTGTCCCTCAGCGTGGCAAAACCCGGTCAGCAGTTGTCATGACTTGGCAATCAAATCTGCTCCTGCCCGTCCACTCTTTGAATTTCACTCGTGAACATGTTCCCATATGTATTACCCTCAATAATTCCTCTCCTCTCTTTTATGTTATCTCCTTTCAAATACTTATGAACTTCTACCATGTGTTCTGTTAATTAAGGCAAAACTAAGATTTACATATTTAGCTTGCAAGACAATCCCCCCCCCCAACCTTTGAAATGTGTGAATTTCTGGTAAATTTAACAAAAATGAAGTGTAATATTCAGAGTGAAGCCAAACAGGTTTTTTGTCCTGCTATTTTTCAGTGGTATTGCTTTTTATGGATGCTCTTACTGTGCTGGGGGAGACTGGACATCAAATTAAAAATGAATTCACAATGTGATAGGCCTGTGAAGCAAAAGCCAATGTAATTTAGACTGCAGATACAAAAGGATATTATAGAAGAGAGCCTGGTAGTCTTGCTCTTGCTCTAGGATTATAATGGATGTGGGGCTTTGTGTTTAAAAGGTTATAGTGTTCATTTGATAATGACTGTCTGGAGTGGTGTCTTATCCCTCAACCCTGTAACTCAGCAAGATAATTCCTGTTGCTATCTGGAGAATGTAATCAAATCAGTGACTTCCCTCTGTACTTCAGAGAATACTTCTGTCTCTTCCCATGTGCTTGCTATTGTTGTCTATGCGTTTGATTTCCAGTCCCAGTAACTTAGAAGAATAATAAGAAAAAAAACAGAAGCAGCCTTCAAAGGTTATTTTTCATCTCGTGTTTGTATTATACTGTGAAAAATAACAGCTCTAGGTAAAGCTTTATAGTTAATATTTTTAAGCCTGACGGTGTGCCCCAAATTTATAGTATGAGGAACCAAAGCATGGGCGAGCCATGCACCTTGTGCTGCAGGGTCATGCAAGTGATTGATTTGAGGCTCTCAAGTCCTAAACCAACATCCTAGCTATTAGACAGACATTCCTCTTCTGAGAAGAGCCCATGGTTTTGGGTCAGACATCTGCAGTAGATACGATGGAACCTAGTGTTTGTATGCACGGGTTTGTAATGCAAACCTGAGGATGAAAGGCACTAATGGACTTTCCCGATGAAAAGAAAAGGCATAAAATAAGCTGAATTCTGCATTCAGGAATTGGTGAAAAAATCTCTTAATTATTTTCTGGAGCAGCTTCTATTTCGGTGGGAGTGGGTGTCAGATAAAGAAATAGCAGAATCCTGAATGTACAAAGAGATCTGTGTTCTTGGCACTTCATCCTGTCATCCACTAGGGCAAATGCAGGACTTGGAGAACTTTCTTGCTGCAGATGTACTCTGTCTCCTTCTCCTTCTAGTATTTACGCAATCGCATTCTTCAACCTGTTGTTTAAATCGTGTTCTGGTTTTACTAATCTTATGGGCGTCATACTGCTCAGTTACTTGCTTCTTTTTGATAATGGTCTGGTTGTTTAGCTGGTGATTTTCAGGATTAGGATGTTTGCAAATCTTGAAGGCTGAGGCATGCAACTTTGCATTGCTTTTCTTTTGCTTTGATCTAAGTGATGTCAGAAGGGGTGAGGAAAAGCAAGGGAAGAAGTGTTGTGTGTGATCCCCAGTCTCCAAAATGTAAATTGTAAACTGAAATAGGTAAATGTGAATTAATACATTCTACTTGCAATATTTTATCTGATAATCTCAAAGCATTTTTCACAAGCTGCAAATGCTGTCGTGTAAACCTTTGTAAAGTAAGGAAATATTATTTACCTTCTCCCTTTTCTGCTTTTTTATTAAACCAACAGGGAAACTGGAGGAATAGGTCAAAGTATTGGATGACTGCAAGGGGAGACTGTTTCACAAGTTGGAGATAATTCCCATATGTATTTCTTTGAGCCTGAGGAACAAGACTTTTTTCCTTCCCTTTTCAATTGTACAGAGGTCCATTATAGCATGGAAGCTTATAAAAGTGCTGTCCTAACTATCACAGCTACAAAAGAAGGAAGAACAGGATTACAATCTTCATCCTTTTGTTGGAGGAAGCTTTTTTGCTTTCAAAAAGCACTGTTTAGCAGCCATTAGACCTATTCTGTTCTTAGAAGTGGGTATTTACACTACCTTGGACTGTTGTGATGAGACCTCACCTCTCTGGTGTCTACATAAGGAATTCAGACACTTGAATTAGATGCCTAAAGGTAGATGGCATAAATGTTCCTTAGAAAGGATTAAAAATTGTTCTATTTCTGAGGTGTTGTTTCTTAATTGCTCTGTTGCATCTAGTATCACACTGGTTACCTGAATAACTGGAGTCATACATTGATGATATTAAATTCATTTATTTATATATATGTGTGTGTGTGTATATATATATATATACACACACACACACACACATATATATATATATAAAATATATGTGTGTGTATGTGTGCATATTAATCACTAAAACGAAATTTAGCACTGTGCTGTGGATCAAATGCCAGTAGTCACTCATGTGGTGAAAGGATTTCAGTGTTCTGCCTGGTTCAGAATTATCTCCATGTTGAGTTCTTTTTGGGTGGGGGTTTCAGTCCATGATGGTTGGCTTCCAAGGCCTTCTTTCTGCAGGTGCCTTTTCATTTTAGTCTCTCTAGTTGAGGCTGATCTCTCGCATAACATAGCCCAGAAATCTGAGCTTCATGATCTCTGTGTCCAGCATACTCGCGTATTCCATTGCAATTGAAATTCGCTTAAAAGGCTTCCGATTATGAATTAAGAACTGGAAATGATAATTTATCACCCCATCAGTATTTTCACTACCTTATTTGGATGTTTTACTTCATTAATTGCACAATGATTCATTCAGTTATTCATCATAATAATAACTCTAATAACTCTAGCAGGCTTTGGTGAAATCAAACAAATTTAACAAATCAGCGACAATCAAGAACTGTTTGCTTGTGATGTGATGAAAAGAGGAGCTCACTAAATTCTGCTGTAACTACAGTTCTAACACTTTACTTCTTGCTTTGGGGCTAGAGACTTTCTGGTGCTTACTGCTGCAGCTACGTTAATTTGTGTTCCAAAATCCTGAAGTGAAGTTACTGTTGCAGCCACACTGTGGTCATCTCGGTGATCGGCATTCACCCATACATCACGTTCATTTGTGTTTGCAATATCAGTTTTGTAAGGGACAACGGAGTTTAACTATTGCCTTTCTAGGCATGATCTTAGTATTTTGGACATGTATGTCAATGCATGCAGTCTTGTTCTCAACTAACTGTGTACAGCCACGTGCATCTGGGCTTTCTGGTGTGCCGTTCAAATACGGAACCTTTTTTCCGTTTCATTGAAATGGGCTTTACTGATGGATTTCAGACTTCTTTACTGCTGTTTTTCAGAGGATAAATCGATATAATAGAAGCGAAGCAACATGCCCGAGGTCAAGTTGTAGGACCTGGAGCAGAGCCTTAGTTTTCTGTGCTTCAGTCTATTGAGTAATACTGCTTGTAGTAGTGTGCATCTGTGAGCATCATTTGTACTAGATAATCTTGGTAACGTTTGCCCATGGAGATTGCTGGTGAATCTTTGGCAGAAGTCCTTCTGAAGTAGTTACTATAAGTGACACCCCAAGAACAAAATGCTAGGTATCATGAGTGTACCGCATTTCAACTTTCCCTTTGTTAAATTGTCTGTGGATCTCAGGCCATCTGTGGTGTCAGCACCTCATGCCATTCTGCTAAGAACCCTGAAACACTTTAATACGCGTAGGAGCCAGGCAAATTAATAAGCAAAACGAGAAAACCTAATCAGGCATGCTAATCTAAATGCCCTTACTGTGTTCTCTTCTCTGCTGCTTTTGGGCTGCTCGGTGTACTGAAGGAACAAACTATTTATAGTATTTGCATACCACTGAACCTCCTAAGCTATTTCTTCCACCCTGAGCTTTACAGGGAGGAGCAACATCTGCCCTGTCCAAGAAGGATTTCAGATAGTATTCAAATACTCTTACCTCCTTATGTAGTATGTGTGTGGTCTTTTTAGGTCATTTATAGTAGAATCTATTCTGTCTCTATAAAAATGGTGCTTTACTGAGCTCTATATCTCAGTGCTTGATCACGCATTTTCAAATGAAGAGAAAGTTGATCTTCTAGCTTCCAGTGCACCTTAAACTTTCAAATTGATTTTGATTTTGTTCTGAAGCTGCACAGCCCACTTCTCTTCAGAATTCAGTCATGTGGGACTCCTTTGCTTTCAGTGGTTGTTTCTGAGAATTTGAAATGTAGTATTGATGCTACATTAGAAAGAAAGAAAGAAAGAAATTTGGCCATTTCTCCACAGTTCTGTTTGCTGCGCTAACCAGAGTGAGGAGTAGTAAATACTCTGGGTGCTGAAATCAGCATGACTCCCGTGTCGGTGTGCAATGGATGTGTAAGAAGGTGCATTTTCAGAAAGTGATTGTATAGAGCCCATTTTAAAATATTTCTACTTTAATATGTGGACTCCAAATCGTGGTTTTATTAGTTGGAAATGAAAGGAGTGTTCTCACTGCCTCTGGCCTTCAGGTGGGAGAATAGGGATGAAACGCATCTGGATCTAGCCTTTTGGCTAAGGCTCAGAAGTTACCACCAAGGGCCACCTGCTTTTTGTTTCTTTTGTAAACCAAGCTCCTAACAGCAACATGGAGTCCTTTGGGTTTTTTTGCAAGCTCCTTGTGTATTTTCATCTCTCAAATTTCTTGTGCAACTTCTATCTTCCTCTGTCCCCCAGAAGCCCTGTCTCTGCAATGGTGGTTCTCTGTGCCTCCTGTTCTCTCCCACGCCAAGTTTCTGTTGTATACCTCCTTTTCTCCCTCAAATGTTTATTTTTCTCTGCAGTGGTTTTGTGCTCCTCCGTTATACTCTTTCTCTGCCAGAGATTTGTTTGCCCTTCTGAGTTCAGCTCTTGCCAGTAGCCTTCTTTCTGAGTCAACATTTTAAGAGTGTAGGGAGGAGCTGAGATGGTTCAAATATTATACTAGAATGAACTAATGAATTTCCTGCTCTGCAGATGTTAAGCTTTCAGGCTTTTTCCAATTGGCAGAAGCTTAAATGCTTTCTAGTAGAATTGCAGATCATGGTTTAAAATCTTGTAAGAGGGCTCATATTCATTAATTATTTTTTTTTCTGGGTGCCTTAGAAGTTGTCTGCTTGCTTTTCTCCCTTTCTTATTCTTTCCCTCTTCCTGAGAACTTGTGAGCCACAGTTGAAATCATCTTTGGCTACAGAGTCCTCTGATCTATAATACAAGAATCTTTAAAAGCTTATTTTCTGAGAAGGTGAGCTAGATGGTGTGGAGTAGGGAAGTATCACCTCCCTCGCAGGCCTTGGGAAAGGAAGCTTAGTGAGATGAGATGACTTGACTCCTGGATGCCCATGGCTTTGGGGAGAGCTGGAACAAGAGCTCAGGTCTCAGCTGAAACATGCTCTCCTGAGAGTGATCTCCGGTGCGCCAAGAGAGTGCTGAATCCCTCAGGCTCTGCTCATAGAGAATCACTGGGGTTTGACTTCTCTGTCCTGTTGAACTGTACAGATTCTTGGCTTGTTAGGATCCCATCCTGCCTTTCGAGGACTTTCTTGTAAACACAGTGCTGTTTTATGTATTTATGAGGCAATAACATATAAAAATCGTAGAATGGTTGAGGTTGGAAGGGACCTCTGTTCAAGCAGGGTCACCTAGAGCACATTGCCCAGGATTTTGTCCAGGTGGCTTTTGAATATCTCCAAGGAAGGAGACTCCACAACCTCTGGGCAACCTGTTCCAGTGCTCAGTCACCCTCACAGTAAGGAAGTTTCTCCTCATGTTCAGATGGAGGCTCCTGTGCTTCAGTTTGTGCCCGTTGTCTCTCGTCCTATCACTGGGCCCCATCCTCCTGACACCCTCCCTTCAGATATTTATACGCATTGATCAGACCCCCTCCCGACAGTCTTCTCTTCTCCAGGCTGAGCAGTCCCAGCTCTCGCAGCCTTTCCTCTAACAAGAGATGCTCCAGTCCCGTAATCGTCTTAATAGTCCTTCACGGGACTCTCTTCAGTAGTGCCATGTCTCTTGTACTGGAGGGCCCAGAGCTGAACGCGGTACTCCAGCCGTGGCCTCACTAGGGCTGAGTAGAGGGGAAGGATCACCTTCCACGACCTGCTGGCAACACTCTTCCTAATGCAGCCCAGGATACTGCTGGCCACCTTTGCCACAAGGGCACATTGCTGACTCATGGCTAACTTGTTGTCTCCCAGGACCCTGAGGTCCTTCTTGACAGAGCTACTTTCCAGCGGGTCAGCCCCCCAGCCTGTGTTCGGGCAGGGGGTTATTCCTCCCCAGGTGCAGGCCGTTTACTTGAAAGAGGTTGCTTAGACTCTCTTGGAGTTGCATAGAGTTTATAAGTTTCAAGGGCCTCTTACGTATGAAACTTCCACAATGTAATCAATAGCAGGAACGCACCCACTGGGTCGCAGGCTCTTATCTGGTGACTGGCAAGGTCCAGACACTTCAGCCTTTTCAGCTGCATGACTGGGCCTATTGAATAAGTGCAGCAGGCAAGCCTCTGCGTGCATACGCCAGATCAAAGACTTTGCTTGATGTGTTGGGTGTGCTTGCAGGAATTGTGACCACGTGAGGCAAGCCTTGGCAGTAAGGTAATGTGGAAATACTTATGTGACTGTAATCTAGGTTAGCCTTTCCCTGAACTGGGCAGGGGTTGGCTGTTCCCCACCTGCCTTTTCTGCCCCTTACTCATTTCTTCTTTTTGAAGATTTAAGTGAAATGTCCCTCATATTGAGGGACAAGGAGATATCGGTAGATATGGTCCTTTTTTTCGCCTAGATTAGAGTGTCTGGGATTATAGTTGAGATACCTGCCTGACCTCTGTGGCTTATTGTTTTTAAATGGCTTTGGATTCCTGAAAATAGCATCTAATATAATATGGACATCAGAAAACGTACTCATGGAAGTCAGATGCCTGGTAAGTAAGGCTTCTTTTTTTGGAAACTGTAGGATGAAAGAAATTTAAATCTTCAATTTCAAACCTTTTTCTGTGTGTATGTGTGTGTATATATATATATATTTTTTTTTTTAAGTTGCATAGGAAATATTATGCCTCAATTAATGTTTGTCCTCCTCTTTGCTTTGTGTTTTAAGTAACAAGCCAAACCCCAACCAGATCAATGTAAATAATGTCAAACCAGGAGTGGTAAATGGTACTGGAGTGCAGGCACAGAACACGGGAGCAGGACGGGCCTGTGAAAGCTGTTATAGTAAGTGACGTGCAAGTATAGCAGTTGTGCATAGAGTACGAGTACAGTAAAGAAAAAAATTCCTCATAGAGGGAGGACGGAAGAAAAGGCTTTCAGGAGGACATGCAGAATTTGATGTAGCAGCTTTTAAGTAAAGCTTTCTGGAGTTACTGATGTTATATTGGTAAATATAATTGCAAAGTACTTGGGAGGGGTTAGTAAATGTCTTGCATAATTGCAAGTGACTACTGAGTAAAGACTTTAAATGACTGAGGTGTGAACTTGACAATTTTTTTCACGGTTTTTACGTAGACTATAAAATGTACATATTTGTATTTGATCTGTTATCTCATATTAATTATACTGGATTCTAATGCTTGTCCCCCTCCTTAAGGGAGAGCCTTTAGCTATGCTGGAATGTGGGATTGTGTGAGGAGTCCAGTCAAAGACTTATTTTACCTTCTTTAGATGTAAAATTAACGTATGGGGAGTTTCTGAAGAGAATTACTCCTCCCTGGCCCTGCCCAATGCTGCAGTATTAGATATGATCTGTCAGTCTTGCATAATGAAAGCTTTCCGTTTCATTGGCAAGAAATGTTTGCGTCCTACTGCTTGTTTTTATTGTTCTTATTTTAAAATGTTTTTATATGTATAACTAATTATGTGGAAATCAGAAACACATTTTGCAGTGGTGATGTCAAGGAAGGCTGCCATCAGGTTTTTAAGGTCTGTTTGAGCTTTGCACTGTCTTTGTGTGGGTTTTCTTTTTGTGATAGTTCTAAAGAGAATAAACTCTGAAAAGTGATCCTGTTTAAGGATATATATAATTTCCACCTTTGTTATCTCTAGCCACACAGTCTTACCAGTGGTATTCTTGGGGTCCCCCTAACATGCAGTGTCGCCTCTGTGCATCCTGTTGGACGTACTGGAAGAAATACGGTGGCTTGAAAATGCCAACACGGTTAGATGGAGAGAGACCAGGACCAAACCGCAATAACTTGGTAGGTATCGTGAAAGTAGACTGCTCAGTACTCTTATCTAAGAAGTTAGGTGCACCATGTTAGGTAATTAATTGTTCGCTGCTCTTAAAAATTCAACAAAACAAGAACGACACCTTCAGCCCCTATTGTTGTCCTTGGGTTTGATATTTCAAGACCTGGTATGGATCTAGACCTGCAAAAGTTGGCAAACTAGCTTTGGGTGTATGTAATTTGTTGCCAAGTACTGCCCAGAGAAAAAACATTCTTTGTTTAGCAAACTATCCATCAAATACTTGGGATAACTTAATGAAGATGGGAAGAGTTGGAAAACCGGCCGGTGTTTCTGGGTGTTCTGATTCTGCAGTCTTAGCCGTAGGGAGAAGAGGACTGATTGTCTATAAAGAAATTCATTATTTTCTGCAAGCTGTTCCCTTCCCCAAGGCACATTCAAAATTAGGTATCCCAAATAGCTAGTAGCTTTGAGAGATCCCTTTTTTCTCCACTCCATCCTATTTTTTAAGTTAGTCCTTCTCTCTTTTGTATAGGTCTTCAGTAAGCATTGTACGAGTTACTCTCCTTCCCCTCCACTCCCCCACTTAAATTAATAAAACTTTCAAAATTTCTCTGAATGTGGAAGCCCAATCTTGGGGCATCATCTGTTGGGCTGGTTGGAAAGTGCAGCTGCCTTACATGCACGGAAGGATAGAGCACACTGAATTTTGCTCTTAAATTCTTTCCCTCTTCTCTCCCAGTCTTTGCTTTCTGCCATTCCTTTTCTACTCTCTCTCTCTCTCTCTCTCTCTCTCTCTCTCTCTCTTTCCTTTAGCCACTCTCCTTTCAGGTTTCTGTTTGCCCTCTGGAGCTACTTAATTATGGAGTTCACTGCCAGCTTTTATCAGCCTTGTAACTCTTGTTTGTTACTTAAAAATTTTGTTACGTGGCCTGAGAAGGGAGAACCTTGTTCTCCCCAAACTGATATTTCTTCCTATTTTCCACCCATGGGTATGTTTTGAGATAACAAAATGCTACTTTTATTACTTCACTGGCTGGCCTAGCTACCTTTCATGAAAGAGATGCTGCTTTTGCTTTCTCTGGTAGATAAATGTCTTCCAGTATTATTCTTCATTATGTGCAGTGATTATTTGATAACACTGTACAAGCGTTATCCATTGAGCTCAAAGTAAGAATTAATAGGAACTTCTGTTCTGAGACAAAAACTGTCTTGCATGCTGTGACAGTTTGCTTTGGGAAGTCAGCTTGTGATGTATGTTTTGGCCATGCATCTACTTTCTGATTTCCCTCTCTCTCCTGCAAAGGCTTTGTTGTAAGCAGTTTGTGTTATGTATCCAGAGCAACTCTAAGCACCCAAAGTTTGAGCATCTTTCTGGTGACTCTGATTAGCACTAAATTATGTGATAGCATCAGCTAACTTCATTAGGTCTGGCTTTTGGGCCTCTGCTTTAAGGTTTTGGGACAGCACAGAAACAAATGCTTCCCTGGGAAGAGAAAACATTAACCTTCATTTTATCCTTTTGAGATATTTTGGAAGAAAATCCCAAATGCTGATGGGTAAGATTTGGGGACTGGGGAAGAGCTATGCTGAAACTATTTTCATCTGTGACACTGTTTCTGTTCTTGTGTCTCTGAATCAGTAGTTGAAAATGATTTTATATGGTGTTATCTTTGTTCTAAAAAATTGCTTTTTAATAATGTTTCTAACAAGAATAATTATTTTTTTTCTTCCTGTTCAGAGTCCTCATGGTGTACCAGTGCGAAACAGTGGGAGCCCCAAGTTTGCTATGAAGACACGACAAGCTTTCTATCTCCATACAACCAAACTGACCAGAATTGCCAGACGTTTATGTCGAGATATCTTGCGCCCTTGGCATGCTGCAAGACATCCCTATCTGCCTATTAACAGCGCGGCAATCAAAGCAGAATGTGAGTGGTGGTGCAGCTGGGCACCTCCTCACAAAGCGAAGGAAACGCAGCATCTGAGATTCCTTGCTTACAATGTTTGAGTTGTACCTCCTTGAGACGCTCTCTTGCTCATAACTGTTCGTCGCGCAGGAGCTAGCTATACTTGTAGAGTACTCTAACTGATCACAGGCTACAGGCTGTTATTTTCAAATAACATTGAAAACTTGTGAGTTGTAGTTTGTTTTAAAATACCGCTTGTTTGGTAAAACACTTAGCGTTCTACTGCATGTGTCATATTACTAAGACACACTTGCAATCTGTAAATATTCCTTTTGATAGGAAAGCTCTTTCGGGAGAGTTAATTTAGTCATTTTGTCTTGCTATATTATCTAAATGTTTTTACCTTCTAATTCTTTTCCTTTCTTTACAGGCACAGCACGTTTACCAGAGGCATCAGAAAACCCCTTGCTATTAAAGCAAGTGGTTCGAAAGCCTTTAGAAGCAGTACTCCGTTACTTAGGTATGTAAAACAAACAAACCAAACAAAAAGCCTGTGCGCTAAGTGTACCAACTATGTGTTTTTTTTTTTTCCCCCTCTGTTTTGCTTTGGATTTAGATTCTGGTGCTGAATTTAAAATTTTGAGGGTTTTTTTTTTTCCTAGAGCTGTGTGGGGTTTTTTTGTGTATTAAATCTGCTACTGTGAAATTCAAGGAGAGTTCAAAATCACTTCCTCCCTTTCTCATGAACTTGTCCTTTCTCCTTTTCATACTTAATTTGACAGACTAGTAGCTCAGCAGTGTGCTGTGTGTTTGCTGACCTGTATCAGAAACCTTTCCCAAAGGATGGGAGGGACCATCTACTTTTGTCTATGATGTGTGTGACAAGTGGACAGGTGACCACCCTCTGCTGATGGAGATATGAATGTAACCTTTAGGGAACAATTGGCCAGTCTATCAGTTCTAGGGCTGTCTGGAGGCAATTTCTACAGTAGGGTTCTCTGAGAAGCCTCTCAGGTTTAGGAGAGCACTGTGGCCAGCAGATTTTAAATGAAGTGCTGGCTGTTTCTGTGTTGGAGCTAGACCAGGGGCCTACACTTCTGTAGTTTTTCACTTTCATCTTGGGGATTTTTTTGTTTGTTTTTTGTTTAAACCATTTTCTTGAGGACTTGGGTCTCTTGTCAGCCAAACTAGAAGGGTACTGAGTACCTCTCTCCAGGACCTAGGCGTAAGCTCTGGGTCTTCAAAGTGCACGGACGGATGATGCGCCCACTCTTGAGTTCAGGTTGGTTCTGTGTCCCTCTGTGAATGTAACTTTACAGTAATTTGCAGCACGATACTGATCAGATAGCCACTGCTTGTTTTACCAAAAGGAAAAACTCTTATGTACCCAAATGAGTTGGGCACGTAAATAAGCATATCTTAAATATGGTGCAGGATGCCTGCATGAAGGTAGGACTCACTTGATCAGGATATAACATAGTAGCAGAGTACAATCATGACCTATTTGATCTTTATTAACAATAATGCTTACTGTACTCTATCCTTATGCCATAGAAGTAGGAAAATATTTTGATAATATTTTGATGGAAAGTGTGGGCAAGGCTTTATATGCCTTGCATCCCTCCAAAATAACCCCCTTTAAACCCATTCCTTCAATACTTCCTTTTGTTACTGTTTTTGTAGGTAACCTGAGCTTTTGTGTCCAGCCACTTTAAGTGTCACATGGGCTAACTATATTCAGTTGCAGTTTGTGGTCAGGTGAAACTGGTTTCTGCTGGAGCAGTTCATTAACCTGTGATGTTTTTTGTTAAACAGTGATTTAAAGTGAGTGAGGGCAACAGACAGCTTTTAATTGAATAGGTGGGAGCCACAGTGATTCTTAAAGCTTTTATGTGGCCGCTTCTGCTAGTGCTGGCTTGCACCTTTAAGACTTGCCAGCAAGCTTAGAAAAATGGATTTAAGTGCCTTAAGAGTCTTCTAGCGCAGTTACCTAGGCTGGAGACGGATCTGTTGCTGTGGATCTCGTTAGAGAAGGTTAAGGAGTTACAGTTTCCAAGGTCAATGTAGCCCATCTTGTAGCTTTGATACAGAGAATGTAAGCACCGTAATTTTTCAGTGCAAAAGTCATCTGATTCAGCAGTGAGTTATTCCAGCTCTCCTGACTTTGCACTTTGTGGTGAAAGAGAGCTAACATAAACACTTTTTTGGCTCGGATATGGAGGTAGCAGGTTTCCAGTAAATAGTCAGTAAAACTACAGATGTCTATAGTGGTAAAAGAAATATTTATAGGACTGCAAATGACTGCAAAACAAACTATCATTTTCTTTGGTGCTGCTGATTGTTACAGAGATACCCCAAAGATGTGGTCTTAGGCTGTTAGAGCAGAGTCTGAGTCTAACCACAAAAAGCTAGCTGGGAGAGCGGTACTTTGAATGCTTCCAGTTTAACAAGGAAATTATTTGTCTTTTTACCCTGATAAGAAACAGTGGAGTTAATCTTTTATTTGTCTGAACACTTATTTTGATGAAATATTGTAAGGTTCAGTGCGTATCAAATATTATTTGCTGCCTCTGTGTTGAGCGTTGTACTTAAAAGTACTGTGTACTAATGAGATACCTGAAGGCTTCCCAATCTGTAGTGCATAGTGCAACCACGTAAAGCCAATAAAAGGAGAGTTTTTGCTGTTGGGTAAAATCCTGCTTTTAACAGTTGTACAGAATGTGATGGTAGATTTTGAGATTTTTAGCTGAGAGCAAATTCAGCAGCTGTGTCTGGCTGCTAAGCTGGGAGAAGGGAGTGGAGGGTGGCTAATGGAGTGGAGAGAGCACAGATGAATTTTTGGAGGAGTCGTGCTCTGTGCTCTTCAAGATAAATATTACTCTCTTGCTAGGGCTGAGAAGGAGCAACTCACTTTAGGTTCCCGTTTCCTGTTGTTTGTAACTTTTTCAGTGTTTTTCATTGGGCAGCCTGTGGTTGATCTCTGCCTCAGCCAGAATTCAGACTCTATGTGTTTTTTACGGTGTTATTTTGAACCCTTACTTGCTTGTCCAATTTAAAAATTTTATTTTTACAAACTTTGAAAAATTTGCCAAGTCGATTTCCCTAGCGTTTAGGGATGATGCATGACTGCTTGAAGATGACTTTTAATATAGAGAAGCCTGGAAATTACCCCACATGATTGGAGAATAGAATTTTGGAAATAGACGCAGACTACTACTTTTTTTTCCTTAACTCTTATTTTAGAATAATATTACGTTACAGTGAATGTTATGATGTTGTTTTAAACATCTTTAGTATGGTGAATTCCTAAATATACTTTAAGAACTTTTTATAAGTAGCAGTCTTCAGTCAAAATTAGGGTCAAATTCAGAAACGAGAGTTTGGAGATAGTTTGCATGTAAGAGGAGGTGAGGTATGCTTTGTCACTTTGGAAGTTTGCAGGTTATTTTCAGACTTATAATTCCAGTATATTCACTAACAGAAATCCTGCTTTTTCTCATAGAGTCTCATCCATGTCCTCCGAAACCAGATCCTGCGAAGAGTTTGTCCAGTTCCCTCAACAATCTGACGCCTGCCAAGTTTACACCTGTCATTAATAATGGGTCCCCGACTATCCTGGGAAAAAGAAGTTATGAACAACACAATGGAATGGATGGTAAATGTTTTTCTGCAAAATGTATATTTAAAAGATAGGAGAGCCTATGCAGACAATATACAAGGAGATTGTTTAAGCTATTTAGCCCCTAATATACGTTTAGAGCTTCTTTTTGTCAGGGTTTTTAATTTTTTGCCTTTTGCAAAAGTTGCTTGTCCCATTTTTATTTTTGGGTGTGCACATGGGATGTGTACATGCACTACCCAGACAGTTCACAGACTCACTGTGCTAGTGAACCTGTCTGGCTTGACCAACCTTGCAAATCAGGTGATAAAAGATACAAACTTCCCTTCAATTTTAAATGAGTAACATGAAGAAAAATTTAGAAGCTATTTCCAGCTTTTCCTTTTGAGGCTTACTGCTTTTAAACTTGTGGGTAGTAGCTGTGCAGTTCCCGGGTGGTTTTGCAACCTATGGATCTCCTGGGTTTCCGCAAAGCTACTAGAGACTGCGTGCCGTTGAGAAAGGTGGCTGCTGCTTAGCTGAGGGAGGCAGAAGTGCCGGTTCTGGCACATCATAAACCTGCTCCTGCCTTGCTCGAAAAGAGAGCGTTCGCTTTTGTTGGCCCTGTCACCAAGAACCTCCGTGCAGCGGAGGCTGGGCTTCAACTCTTCGAGGATAAAGGCCATGGAAGAGGTGTTTGAGGTGGGAGACAGAGGCAGGATGTTCCTGGCGTGGGCTCCAGGGCTCTGTTCTGAAGAGCTGCTGTTGCTTCAGAGTGTCAGAGAAGAGGAAACGGCAGTCCATTTTTCAGACAAGGATAAAAGGACCTATTCAAATGGTCTTAAAGGGAATAAAAACATAATTTTTTTGAGGAGAGGATAGCTCTCTGTAGCAGAGGAATAGAACTACTATTTTAACAGTGACTGTGGATGGGGAGGGAAATACAATCTCTGTTGTCCTCCCAGGAGTAAGCAAGAGCTAAATTACATTATCTTACAGACTTTTTCTTGGAGGGAAAACAGATTCTGTCCTGCTGTGTCTTAATCCTGTAGTCCTGTAGACTTACGCTGTCATTATGGAGTAAAATCAGTGTGTTGTGTGGTGGTTTTTTTTTTTTTTTTTTTGATACAGCTGAACAGAATCTTCCTCATTTTTCACCTTTTATTTTAACCTTATATGTGGCTTGTCTGAAATATAGTTAAGAATATTTTATATCTTATTGTTTGTGTTGTAACATTAAGAACTTTTAAAACTGCTGCTGTTCAGGTTGCTGATGTGATGTTTTTCTCTTTTCTGTTCACTTGTGCTCTGTCAGGCAACATGAAGAAGCGCCTGTTGATGCCTAGCAGGGGTAAGACCTTGAAGCTGCGCTCAGCTTATGCTAGGAGAGTGATTTTTAGTTTCATCTGCTGGCTTGTCTGTGCTTTGTGGCTAATGATTCTGTGTGCACATTCTGTGTTGATGTCTAAGTGTTCTTTGGGTAACCATTCCACCTGCGGTTATGCTGATCATCTTCCAGGCTTTTCATGTGCAGACAAGTTGTACAACAAACACAAAGAAATGATATTCAGAGTTGATTACTAAATTTTCACATTCACACAGCAGTTTTCTAGCAGTTTTGTAAGACTATTGAAACCTGAGATGATTGGTTTGAACATAATGATATTTCACTGTTTAACTTTTTTAAAAAAAAAATCAAAGTTTTAGATGTCCTAAACTAATTTAAACTTAGCAAATTTGACCAAAAGAAATAGGAGACAGTATTCATGTCAAGTGTCAGGTTCAAGCCTTGGTATTTTCTGTTGGATCAGATCTTGGCGTGGGACTCTCTGCACTTTTTCTACTTGCAATAGAAATCACTGGCTTTAAATTTCCACAGGGAGGGAAAAAATAATCTTGCTTGACAAGAGTATTCCTGGGAAGTTTTGATTTGGGATAATGCAGAAAATGTATCCATCAGAAATATATGTAATGTTGCTTTGCCAAATTCAGTAACACAGTCCATTTGTGAATAGTTAGGATATAAAAATGTCAATATGAGACAGGCAAGCACAACAACTTAGGTTTGTGTGTTAACGTTAAATGACCCACACTGCATGCCCTGATGTGTTAAGCTTTGTGTTTAACAGCTGAGGTGGTGGCTGACTACTATGTATATTTACATGCATGCATATATAAATGCATGTGGAGAGTACAATGAAGATGAGGATAATGCTCTTGCTCTCTTGGCAATATATACTTTGATATTGTGTTGCTGAGTGTTTAATGTTGTTTTTAACTTTGTTTTGGGGAAAATAACAAAATTCTTCGACTCCTCTGTTCAGTCAGTGTGGCTTCCTCAGAAGCTTTGTCCGGTAGTAAGAGATACAGCTGCAGAGTAGCTCTCTGAATTTCCACAGCTCCTAATAAGTAC